CGGGTGAATAAGAACACATGCTCTACTGGCTTAAGAACTCAAATCCCCATGTGAAAAGCCGAGCAGAGAGCACATGCCTTCACTCCCAGCAGTGATGGGAAAAGACAGGCAGAACCCAAGAGCTCACTGACTAGCCAGCCCAGCCAAGCTGTGTGCTTTGTTAGGAGACTCTTTCTCGAGAGAACGGGTGTAGAGCAACAAAGACACCTGAAAAGTCCAGCCTCCATATGTACTCCCACCAGCACACTACATGCATGTACCACACACAAACACACACACACCACAGTACACAACAAAATATCACTCGCTCACTGTGAGGCCTAGCACAGGTTTCCAAACCCTTCTGAGTATTAGTTTTTTTCAAAATGCAAGAAGAGAAATGGTGATGGGTGGGGAAAAAAGGGGTGGGTCCTCAAATTCTAAACACCAAAGAATATTAAATCAATCTCAATTGAAAAGTGACTTTCATTAACACCAGGACTGATGGCTAATGACCCTAGGGGGTTCTGTCCAGACAGACTAACAAACAACCACCACCACCTCAAGCAGCATTCCTAAAAGGCCTACACAGTCATCACCATGCCAGCCAGATAGGAATGAACCTGATTTTCCAACAGAATCAAGGATTTACTGTCATTCTGAAGGCCACTGCCATCTCACATAACTATCTTTAAAGAAAATGAACCAACTAACTCACACAAGGAAAATGCTTGTAACCACAGTCCAAATCATGATAGGAAAAATCAAAGTGAGAACAGTGCTCAGAGAACACAAATTCCTTTCCAAATGCCACACCGCCATCTTCAGAGCAATATTTAGAAGCATTCTGAGTCTCCTCTGCACAGCCAGCTGGTGCTAGACACCTCACATGCCTTCTCTTTCAGTCCTCAAGCCAGGATTCCAAAGACTAGTCCCCAAACTGGCAACATCCGTAACATGCAGACACTGGTTAAAAATGCATGTTCTCTGGGCTGACAAAATGGATCAGGAGGTAAAGACATTTGCCACCAAACCTAACAATCCGATTTGTAACCCTGGAACCCACTTGGTAGAAGAAAACTCCTGTAAGTTGTCCTCTGACCTACACACGCACACACACACAATGGTCTCTACACACACATGAATAAGTAAACAAACAAACAAATAGGGGCTACAGAGATGGCTTAGTGCTTAAGAGCACTACTTGATGCTCTCCCAAAGGATCTTATTTTGGATCCCAGCACCCATCTCTAAGCATACTCAAAGCCCTGCTGAGTTCAATCCCCAGCACCACATAAAATGGAGCATGGTGGCACATGCCTATAATCCCAGCATTTAGGAAACAGAGGTAGGAGAGTCATAATTTCAAAGTCATCCTTAACTACAAAGTAAATTCAAACCACCCAAGGCTACACAAGACCCTATCAAAAGAAAAAAAGAAAGTGCTGTCAGGCTTTATCTCCTGAATTGGAAACTCTGGGGTGGGGCCTGGCAACCAGTTGAAACCAATCCTCTAGGGAATCCTGATGCACAGCAAATTAGAGAGTCAACGACTATCTTTTCCCCTTTTGGTCTCACTTCAGGGGTAAAGCAAATTAAGCTGAATGATAGATTGGTCCTACCCACCCATGCAGGATGCCCACCAGACCAGACCCTATGCCCAACTCCAAAGCAATTTGCCACAAAGCTGTAGCAGCCAAACTATGCCATTAGGTTCTCTCAGACACTACACTGCAGGAGGAGAGTAAAATGACAATGACATTACCAAAGACGGGTGAGAGCAGAAGAAAGCAGCCTGCATTCAAAAGCGATTAATTATAAATGCTTTTAAATTCACATCATGCATTAGCCCTGGATGGCCAGCCATCCCTCAGGAAGTGTGTTTCTCCTGATTCCATGTCAGCTGAGTTACATGATCAAAAGCTGGAGTCCCTATGGACCAACTCCTTGCACTGCTTTGAAAAGAGCCGAGTTACCCATTCTTCCTCTTACAGAACCCTTAAATGCTGTACACTGCCTGGACTAGGATCCACAGGAAGTGGAACCAGGAATAAGCCCTTTCTGAACCCAGAAACAAAGCCCAGTTCAGGACCCAACAGAGCTGGGAGAGTTAGCAGAAGAATGAATGCACTCTAGGGAAACACAGACCTGGCATGTTTTGTTTAGTTTTCTTATCAAATCTAAATAAAAAACACCTATCATTTAAAGTAGCTCATTCAATTACTGACATTCAAATCACAGTACTTCCACAGATCCTAAGGTTTGGAGAAAGCCAGGAACTTTAACATTCACAGCTCCCAGCCTCTCAAGGGACTCACAGACCCATTGTGAATACTGACTAAGCTGAGTCCAGCAGCTTAATCCTGAAGGTTTCCACTGTCACAGGGTCTCAATCCCAATCCTATGCTCTGATGAAAGTGGTTCTGTTTTTAAAGGCTGCTAAAAAAAAATTCAAGATAGCTGGTCATGGGGGGGCATGCCTTTAATCCCAGTACTCCATCAGGCAGAGATGGGCAGATCTCTGAACTGGAGGCCAGCATGGTCTAAGTAAATTCCAGGACAGGCAAGACTACACAGAGAAACCCTGTCTCAAAAAAAAAAAAAAAGTGAGTTCCAGGACAGCCAAGATGGTTATACAGAGAAACCCTTTTTGGACAACTCCCTTCCCTCCAAAAAAAGAGCTTTAAGATTTTAGGGCCTTGATTTCTCAACCATCAGACTGCTAACAGGTATAGTCAAACACACCTCTAGATAAAGTGGCTGAATACACACTTAACTGCAGACATGTTCCCCTGTAACTGCTTTTCTAAGTTTCTATCTTTAGACACTATGAATAAACTAAGAAAGGAAATTCTAGGCCAGATGTGGTGGCACACACCTTTTAATTTCAGTACCTGGGAGGCAGAGGCAGCTGGATCTGCGAGTTGAAGGCCAGCCTGGCCTACAGGACAGTGAGGAGTACATAGAAAGACCATGTTTCAAAAAAAGAAAAAAGAAAAGAAAGAAAGGAGCAAAGAAAAAAACAAATGAAAAAAGAGAGAGAGAAGTTTTTGGGGTTGGAGAAATAGCTAAGTGAACAGCACTGTCTGCTCTTTCAGAGGATCCAAAATCAGTTTCCAGCACCCATGTCCAGAAGCTCTTAACTCCCCCTAACTCCACTCCAGGGTATCTCATACCCTCTTCTGGCCTCTGAGCATACTGCACCCGAATACACATAAAAACACACACAAATAATAAAATAATAAACAAGAAATCTCTTTAATTAAGAAAGCTGGTCATGATAATGCCTTTAATACCAGCACCAAACCAACCTGGCCTACACATTGCATTTCAAGAGAGCCAGAGCTACACAGCCAATGACTAACTTATCAGAATTTCTCAATTTTCAAAAACTCAATCAGCTGGAGGGCTGGGAATTTAACTCAGTCACAGAGTACCTCACATGGGTGAGGCCTTCTGTTCAATTCCCACCACTGCAGAAAAAAAGAAAAAATAAAAGAAATCTGCTGGACAGTCATTTCACAATACAGCTGGCACACAGTAGTGGTTCACGCCAGAGCAAGGCTGAACAGTGGAGCTTGTGGTACAGAATCATAAAAACATCGTCGTCCTGATGTCACAGTCTCAAAATGCCAGAGTACTCTGACAGACCATATGTGGGGAGGCTGGGGAAGGAGAGGAAGAAGAGACTAAACATTGGCAGTTGGCAAAGGCTTGACAGAGAGGCTGACTTAAACACAAATACACTGAAACAGCAGACCAAGAGCCAAGCATGGTAGCCCGTGCCCTGTAATCCAAACTCTGGAAAGGGTAAAGAAGGAGAATCAAATTCCAGGCCAACCTGGGTTACAAAGCGAGACCCTTTGGGTGAAAAAAAATCCCGAGTTCAATACTCAGGGTCACTAGGTGCTCAAACCAGTCAATCACACCTCATCAACAAGACAGTTAAGCTCTGCATACAGTGAGGAAAGGAATGAAATTCATTTTTCCCCTGCCTCAAAGTTACCATTATTAATGAAATTAAAAACAAATTTCCTTTAACTTCCAGGAAAAAAAAAAAAAAAAACCTATTAAAATAAATTAGATTCTCCAAAACTTTTTAAAAAGATTTATTTTATCATGTATACAATGTTCTGTCTGCATGTCCACCTGCACACCAGAAAAGGGCACCAGATCTCACTATCGATAGTTGTGGGCCACCATGAGGTTGCTGGGAATTGACTGGAAGCTCAGTCAGTGCTCTTAACCTCTGAGCCATCTCTCCAGCCCTCCAAAACTTTTCAAATACTTTAACAGGAGTCTTATCAGAATCTTCACTCTTGGGAAATCTACTCCTTGTTATGAAAGATTACGTAAGAGGCAGCCATATTTCCACAGAGAGTTTCTGCGATGGATGGGCCATTTTTCATGACTGTGAACACCATGTCAGGCATTGGAAGAGAATGCTGGGCAGTTAAAAGCACATATTATTCTTTAAAGGGATCAGAGCTCGGGGCTAGAGAGATGGCTCAGAGGTTAACAGCACTACCTGCTCTTCCAGAGGTCCTGAGTTCAGTTCCCAGGAACCACACGATGGCTCACAACCATCTATAGTGAAATCTGGTGCCCTCTTCTGGCTTGCAGGCAGAACACTGTATACATGACATAAATCTTAAAAAAAAAAAAAAAAAAAGATCAGAGTTCAGTTCCCAGCGCTCACAACCAAATATACCTCCAGCTCCAGTGGATCTGACTCGCTCTTCTGCACTCAGCGGGCATCTATGCCCACAGGTGCACCATTCCCCCTCACACACATTACTTTTTTTTTTTTTTTTTAAAGTTTCCTCTTTCTTTGTAACTCAGACATTTGGCAACATGCACCCTGCAGAGAAGAGAGATCTCAACAGGGCCCCCATCTGTAGGGGCTAGTTTTTCAAACATTACTTTATTTGGGGTTCCTTAAAATTTATACTTCCCTTCCAACCCCCCAACCCAAGAGGAATAAGAAGGTTGTAAGGGAAAGGGGGGGTAGCCCTCCTTACTTCTTCCTGCTGGGCAGGGTGGTAGGATTCTTTCGGGGGCAATACCAATATCCATCATCAGGAAATCCACAAGTCCAGGTAACCAGCAAACCAGCAAGCAGTCCTCCTATGACTCCTCCACGGACCCTTCTTCCTCTGGGTTATCATATTTATATCCATCAAAGTCCTCAGAATTCAACTAATTCCAACTGGCAAAGAGCCTCTCTCAGAGCCCTCATGAGGCAAATAGCCTGCTGCTGTGGGCAATCTGAATCAGTCCCAGATCCCACACCTGGGATTAAAACAAAACCATGTTTACATTCACAACATCCATCCTCCCATCTCAGGGCTCAGGAAGAGATCCAAATACCCCACAAAATTACTCAAACTTGCTCCTGATCCAGCAGCCCACGCGGTACAGTACTTTGCAACTAATGTTTACAAAACAGCAGCCCAGTCATGACAGTTACAGATAACCAGCCTAACTTTAAAACTAAGAGAACACACTCTAAAGTCTTAAAGAGAAGCCTGAGTGTGGCAGCCCCCACCCAAAGAGGCAGAAGCAGGTGGATCTCTGCATTCAAGGCCAGACTGGACTACCTCCTAGTGAGACCCTGTCACAAACCGTGACAAAAACATACAAATAAAAAATTAGACCTACAGGTGCTCCCTCAACACAATCACAAACACCCTTCAGAAGCAAGCTGCAGTCCCCGCCCCATGCTCATTTAAAATACAGACCAGAACTTCATTACCAACGAACGAAATATCGATGGAAAGCTTAATTCCTAACGCACAGCTGATCGGTGTGGGTCCAACATCTGCCGCTATCACACTGTAGCTAGAGTTACAAGACCAAAGTTCCCGCTAAATCTTCGTTGTATTACATAATAACGGGAAAGAAATTCACCTTATTCAATCATTTCAATCCCATTTCAATCCCTTCTTCCACAGGGCATTTTCTCGAGTGTGCAAAAGAATTCACAAGTCTTTCTCATCTTCCCCTGCCTTTTTTTTTTTTTTTTTTTTTTTTTTTTTTTTTTTTTACGAATGTGACAAATAACAGGCAAGCGATTTGGGAGAACTCCTCAAACGTTTAGGAAATCCTTAAGTGCTGTGGAGTGTCCTGGCAGTAGGGCTTCCAGATGTGACACGGACACCGTATCGCTGATGACCTTGGGCAAACGGACGCCTCTTTAGGCCTCAGTTCCCCTCCTCAAAACCACAAGGATGGCTAAACCCTATCCTTGCCGAAACAGACTTCAAATGAGCTCCCGAGGCAGCAGTGAAGTGGAGAGGCCGCTGGGAGGGACGGAGGCCCGAGACCAAGGAACGGACTTACACCGGCCGGGCTGGGGTTTCTAGGGAGCGCAGACACTCTGGCCCCCTGCAGAGCCACCGGGCCAACTTGAGGTTGCAAACAAAAACCTGTTGGCCCGGACTCCTCCTGGAATGGCCTGCCTCTCCCAACGCGCTCGGCTCGCGCTCCGAAGGAGCCGGCCCACAGGAGAGCGAGGGGCTCCCGGAAGAGGCCGGCTCCACGCGCGGCTCGCCCACCGGGACTCGCCCGGCAGGGCCACCGGGTCCCTGCCATCCCACGCGAAACAAAAGGCAGCTGGAGCCAGGCGCCGCCGCCCCCGTCCCCGCTGTGCTGCACAGTGGAGGCCGGGCAGGGGAACCCGGTCCCGGGGGAGGGGGGGCGGGAAAGCCGTGAGTGAGGGGTCCCCTCCCCGGGCTGCCTGGACCGGCCGGCCCGGACCCCGGCGAGGGGAGAGCCGGGGGAGAGCACACTCTGGGGAGGGGCGGGGTTGCTCCAAACTGAAGGCTCCGGGCGGAGGTGCGAGGCGAGGACGGGCGCCCCAGCCGGGAGGCAGAGGTCCGCTCAGCCCGGAGAGGGCTCAGGTGGGGCGGGGCCTGGCTGAGCGGTCCGGCCGGGTGGGGTCCGGGTGGCCGCACGGTGCACGCCCCGGCGGGCGAGAGGGAAGCCGGTGCTCCAGGGGCGTCCACGCACTGGAGTGAAGGAAGGTCCGCGCCCCGCCCCGACTCTCGAGCCCCCCCCCACCCCCGCCAAGTCCCGCGAGTCCCGACTCACCTCCGTTCCCGGCCCGCGCGAGTGCAACGCTGCAGCCGCCGGCGACGCTGAAGAGGCGGGAGCGACCAGAGCCCGTGCAGCGTTTGACACCCACACGCCAGCCAACATGGCGGCCGAGAGGGGGCGCGCCGGTGGCGAGCGCGCGCGCGCAAGCCCCTCCCCTCCGAGCGCCGAGGCTCCGCCCCCGCCCGCTGACTCCGCCCTTCTAGCTCCTAGGCCCCGCCTCCAGTCCTGTTTGCCCCTCCCACATATGCCCCAAAGGCCTCCTCTAAATAGCTCCTGCTACCACACAAACCCAAACAAATTTATGGAGCCCTAACTCAGAACCCTACACATCCCCCACCTCAGCAATTCCCCAGGGCATACATACTACCCTACTCCTCCCTTAAGTCCTAAAGCACAGAATGCTGCCTAGCCTGCTCAGAAGCACGGCTTCTTATTCTTTCCACTTGCGCATGAAAAATGTTGTGAAGCAGAGACAGGAAGGAGGCCAGGCTTCGGACAGGGTTGATTTATTTAGCTACAACTGCATTCACTTCATGAAGATGCACTTATGCATATTTCAGATGCGTTTGCTTTTCCGTGTGCGTTATGTTTCAATACAAATGTTGAGTCCAGAACTTAGGCAACTCAAGTGGTTGAATCCTCGGACCCTGACTCACCAGGACCTGGGATTTAGCAACCCCAACTGCCAGCCTGCAGTCTCACTCACATGTACCCGACAAAGCAATGTGAAGCATTTCTTCCGCTTGATAAGCTATATGCTGCCCATAGAGACAGGCCAGAGATGGCAAGCAAGGCCCCGTCTTCCCTGAGGGAGGTTCTCAGAAGAGCCTAGAAGCGAGAGGCTAGATCCCAAAGCTGAGAGGAGAGAGCCCTAGCAGCGTCTGGGACATGAATCAAGGCTCAAGAGGAGGGCGAGGGTACTTCTGTTACCAGTCTGTGCCCAAAAATTTCATTCTGCCTCTGCTCGCTAAAGGACACTGAAGTTCACAGGTCTTTGTACCTCTCTGAGCCATAAACACATTTTTTCTATAAAGAACTCACAAATTAACATGGAAGTTAAAAAAAAAAAAAAAACTCACATAATTCCCAAAAGCAGGGAATCTAGAGTCCTTTTCTCTGTCCAAAATATAATAAAGCTGAGGGCCAACCTGGACACATTTGCAAGCTCACATGGTCACTTTTCCCTTGAAAGTCTAAAATGGGAAGTTCTGGAGACTGGAAGCCCGACCCATAATTAACTGCTATTGTGTCTCCCTGGGTTGATGAATGAAATCACATACTATGTTTTACCTGCTTTGCCATAAGAACTATAGTTCCATTTTTAACTGGTCCCTCTGGTAGGGGAGAGTGTGCTTATGATTCCTTCCCTAACTAACAGCCAACTCTCCTATAACAAAAGACCTGCTAACAAGAGGGAGGGGAATAAAACTTATTTGATCATTTAAGTGGCAAGGCGCCTTTAGCAGCTAAGATCAAAGAACCCAGAGAAAAGTGACTATGTTTGCTTTCATTCGATGAAGAATGCCATGTAGAGATGTGACTGGACCAAAGGGAGTGGCCTTGTTGTAAGAGGGGAGCCTAGACTCTCTTTATGACATGCCTTTCTAGATTATATGCAGAACCCATTCTGAATGCAGGGCCTAGCCCCAGCGAGATTGTCTGAGATGTGTGGCTGGCTTTGGTGGAGAGGAATTCTAGTTTCTCTGGCTTGCCTGGAGGGATAAAAGAGAGTAGGAGAAAGAAGGGCAGGAAAGGATCAGAAAGAGATTTTGCTGGTGAGACCTTTCTCATGTCCTTCAGTTCAAAGTACTTTGCATGTCAACCACCACATGTGGGCTGTCACTTCTGAGTCCCAGCAACTTCATTATGGAGACTGGAGCTTGGAGGAGAACAGAACTCTGCTTTAAAATGGTGACACTCTGACCCTCTTACAACTCCACTGACAGCAACAGTGGGCAAGCGTGGGGACAGCCCCACACTCTGAAACAGTCTGAAGATTTCTCTTCAGAGGCAGTCCTTGAGGAGAGCCACGTGAGAAAGCAAAAGGTCTGAGAACAACTGGGGAAAAGAAGAGTCCCTCACTCTAAAGTCTAGATAAAATCTTTTGCCAGCTGAGAACCAAAAATTCCACCACAGTTAAGAATAATTAATAACATTTGCTGTGAAGGCTCACAACATATTTATTTCATGAAGAAATATTTTCAGCAGGGCGCCATGGGTGACACACACCTGCAGAGGCAGGTGGATCTCTGTGAGTTCGAGGCCAGCCTGGTCTACAGAGTGAGTCCAGGACCACCAAGGCTACACAGAGAAAGCCTGTCTTGGAGGGGAAAAAAATTGTTTTTTTTTTTCAAATACAAACATCAAATAAGGCTGGGAGTGGTGGTGCGCACCTTTAACTCCAGCACTTGCAGAGCAGAAGCAGGTGGATCTATGTGAGTTTGAGGTCAGCCTGGTCTATGTAGTGAGTTCCAGGCCACCAGGATTATTATATCATAAAATCTTGTGTCAAAAGAGAGAGAGAGAAAAAGAGAGAAAAGAATTAGCGAATGTGACTACAACGGGTTTAACACCTGAATGGACATGATCTGGGGAAGGGCTCATACTTCTCCCGACGTTGCATAAAATAGATAACCTGACTTCCTGCCTCCCAGCAATCTAGAGTTTACCTTATCAACTGCAACCCTATCTGATACTCCCCAGAAACTACCCTGGGATTTCATTCAGATTCTTTAGCAACTTTTGAAGAAAACAGCTTAAAAACAGACCAAAAGGAAACAAAACATAAGGCTATTGGAAAGACAATAAACAGCTGGGCACGGTGGGCCCCACCTATAACGCCAGCATTTAGGGGGCAGAGGCAGGCGGATCTCATGGTGGGCCAGCCTGGCTTACAAAGTTTAAGCAGCTAGGTCTACACAGAGAAATCCTGTCCTTAAAAAAAAAAAAAAAAAAAAAAGACTGTCAGGCAATCCCAGCACTCTGGGAGGCAGAAGCAGGGGGATCACTGTAAGTTTGAGGCCAGCCTGGTCTACATAGTCCAGGACAGCCAAGGCTACACAGAGAAACCCTGTGTCGAGAAAAACAAACAAAAACAGTTAAACCTCTGAAAAGCCCATACCTA